TAAAGCCTATTGATTACTGTCCCTTTGAAAACTTAATAACTGTGTTACCTGGAGTAAGCTTCTTAACTTTTCTGTGCCTGTTTGGTCTTTTGTAAATGGAAGTAAAAAGTAACACCTCCTGGGATGGAGTTAACATTAAAAATAAAGTGCTCAGGAAGACACCTGGTAGGTACCACAGTTAAAAGTCCAATAAATACCGGTTGTCGTTGGGCCTAGTGTCTTTTTTATTCTCCCTTGCTTCAGTGTCAGTGTGGCGTTTTCCTTTTCCTCTTTTCAGACTCATTAAAGGTGCTATTATGTCCTATTCCAGTTCTGTTTATACCCCTCCCCCCACTACATTTGTCACCATAATGAAGCCTGGGGTCTCCAGAGCCCACTCTCTGAGTGAAACAAGAAGATCAATGGGATACTCCCCTTTGAACATAATTAATGTCAGGAGTTCCTCTGTGATGGTTTAAAGTTATACTTACCCCATACACAACAAGGAACGACTAGTGCTTAACGGTCCTCCGCTCCTTCCCCTCAGCGTCCCCCGGCCAGGTGGGACGCCTCCTGGAGTTTTCAAATAACTTGAATCCCCTTATTAAATACACAGTGAATCAAGTTTGTAGACCAAAATGCACCTGCCTTTATGGGGCCTAGAAAGGGGCATCCTGGAAGATGTAACAATACTTGTTCTGAAATGCCTTCCAGAGAGCTCCCGTTCTTACTGCGACTGCTCATTGAGGACTTCACTCCTCCGGCCGGGGACCTGCACAGTCTGCATTGTCTTATTCTAACAAGACTGAATCTGTTTTATTAGGCCTTTGTTCTTCTGTGGGTTTTTATTTTTATCTTGAATGCACTTCATACTCCTTTTACTCTCATTAGTCCCTTCCCTGCCTTAGGAATCCTTGCTCCAAATGATCGTATTTGTATTTATGTTTTTAGAGGAGAAAAGAAGCGACAAAGAAAGACTCTGATCATTGCCAAATGCGGCCGAGCTTTCTGCAGTGGCCAGTCTCACCGCTTTTGAGCTCGGTTTGCTTTCCTGACCTGTTGGTAGGAAACTAGTCCATAGTGAAAATCGAAGGACAGTTTCAAATTCTCACCCGTTTACTTATGTCTTTACTCAGTATTTATTCTGCAAAATAAATCAATAGATGTTATAGGAGAGATACTAATGATTCCTTAAGATATACACCAGTACTGTTAATTCAAAATCATTTAAATTTGGAAATATCACAGAGTGAAAAATAAGTTTTTACTTAAAAACTTGAGAATGTTAAGGTAAAGCATTTTCTTAGTTTAAAAATCTTTTTAAAATATGAATTTAAAATATCTGTATCAGCTTAATAGTTAGTTTAAAATTCCCTCCTACCCTCAATCTCCTTGAGCTCTGATTCCTAAAACAATTCTTCTTAATTGTAAAGTTTAACTTTGCCTGAAGTTCTCTCGGTGAGCATGTCTAAGTTCATTTTCTACCTGATTAAGAACACCATGTTCCTTAACCTGTCAGCAGCTCAGTTGAGCAGTCAGGCTGTATTATTCAGTATCTCGTTTGACATGAGGACAGCAGTCCAAAGGGAGAGAGATCACAAATTGGTGCCACACTTCAGTAAATAGAGACATTTTATTTTTCACCAAGCTAATTCAACCCAGTTCCGTTAACTCTTTTTCCCCCTGAAGGAAGGATCAAAAAAAGCAGCGTGAATGCCCTGGTCCGTCATGTGTGTGACACATCAGTGTGTGACTACAAAGCCGCCCACAAGGGACGGGTTCTGCCTTTAGACATGAGACAATGCCCCACACAAGGGCCCTGAGCTCAGACCCGCATGGGGCGTGCTGAGGGCCAGGGGCTCCGGTTACAGGCAGGTAGGACGGGAAAGAGCGGGGCTCACTGCACCCGGCACGCTCTTCCCTTCCCGCGGCGACCTGTTCCGTTGGATCTAATAATCCCCAGACGTGCTCCGGGCTGTCGCTGAGTTTCCCTCTAGTTCCAGAGGCCACAGTCATCGGACATTTTGTGATTTTGAGAAAGTCGTCGTCCTACACGTCTGTTTCTTAAAAACCCTTATCCTGATAAATCTATTACCAGTACTTCTGTTTCTTAGTTGACTGATTTCTTCAAGAGGCATAATGCAATTTATTCAGTCTCAATGTTGTTTATTCTTCAAGGGTGTAATGGGATGGATAATGCTGCTGCCCATGAAATGTTTAAATAACATTTACCAAAGAAGACTGAAAGTACGAAATGTTGTCTGGTGCCCGATGGATCAGGGCTAAGAGCCTCATCTTTGTGTCAAACCCTTCAAGGCGCCCCCCCCAACCCCCCCGCTGCCTGGTGTTCCAGTCTCTTTGATGTTCTTCCCGGCAGCCCTAGGCTGTGCCCTCTGTTGTGAGAGTCCCCCCTCTCTGGCCTGCCAACCCCACCCTTCATGCCACTGAAAATCCTACTTCTCCATTAACGCAGGCCTTCCTCCACCCATTGCTGCCATAGGGCACTTCTTCCCGGTACATGGTCTGCAAAGGCCACTTTGCAGGGCGCTGTCCCCAGCCCCCCTCAGGGGCAGCTGGATGGACATGCACCTGCCCAGAATGATGGGAGGGGCACTCTCTGGTCAGCCCACGTGGCCAGTACGTTCAGGGCTTCCCCGTGTAACGTGCTCACTGTGTGCAGGGCGGAGCTGTGCCTGTGCCACAGGGAGGACAGGCCCCAGAGCCAGACACACCACGATTGCCAGCTGTGACCACATGCAAGTCACCACACCGCTTTGTGGCGCTCGTGTCCTCATTTTAAAAATGAAGATCATTATATCGCAATAAATATAACACCAGTATTTCTATTTTCTGAGTGAACTCTGGTATTTCCACATTTAAACAATTTTTAAAGTAAACTAATTTTAAATTTTGTAATTAGACTGCAATATGTTTTAAGGAATCATTAGCATCTCTCCTCTAACATCCACTCTGATTTATTTTGTAGAACAAATATTGATATAAAAACAAACTGGCGAGAACTTGAAACTGTCCTTCAGTTTCTCTGAATGTACAACCTACCTTAAGGGTTGTGCAGATTAAATGAGTTAGTTTTTGGGGAAGAGCTTAGAACAGTAGCTGACACAGTTCAAGTGCTATGTAAATATTCATTAAATAAAATAATATGTTGGGCATGTCCTGTCCGCCAGTAACTGAGCTAAATGTATGACATGTTAATAACTAAATCAATCTTCACAGTGGTCTCGCATGGTAGATCTCCATTTTACAGAGAGAGGGACCTAGACAATCAGAGTGAAGAAACTTGCTCAAGGTCACACAGCGATATCAGGGTAGAAGCAGGATTTGAACCCACATCTCCTGGTTCCAGGGCCCTCCGCCGCTTCTCTGCTTGTACCCACTTCTCTGTCCTGTGAAAGCTGGGTGTCGGGCGTTTTGTCCTGGAGATGGTCAGTCCGATGGGGAGAGAGGCTGTTGGAAGACAGCCCGCCGTGAGAGAGTGGCAAAAGGAGAGCTTCGTCCCACGGAGCCCTGACATTGACCACATTGGGGTGAGAATCCGAGAGGACGGGAACCCCATGTGTTAGCAGCTGGTGCCATGGCCCCCGGGCGGAGGGCTTCTTCATGGTAATGTCTTTCTGGGCTTTGTTGTTGTTTTCTTTTAAGCCGCTCTTTTTGCCAGGCTCCTGAGCCTTTGCCGGTACCCTGGTGTAGCCTGGGACCACATAGGACACAGTGAAAGTGAGGAGATACAGGAAATGAGTCAGCCGCCTCTGCCTGTACGTGTGCATTGGAGATATTTAAAACATATTCCAGTCTTTCCACCAAATCACCCAGCGCTCCTGAAACGCTCCATTTACCCACAGGAGTCCAGCTCGAGAAGGCCAGCCACAGGTCTGGAAGCGAGCATACAGACCTTAGTCATAACAAGGGAAACCTTGGCCTTGAGGGATTCCTTTGAGGTGGCTGTCCATGCTGTCTGCTCTGCAGCTTCCCAGCGGGGGCTGTGTACCTGTAATAACAGATTCTCTTCCGGTGGTGTCATCTAGTGTCCAGACTGCGTGCACACAGTCCGAAGTTTCAAAAGTGAATTTCTTCAAAGGATCCCAACGATTTGGCTGATAAAGCACAGATAACGTGAAAAATATATTTTACTGTTAAGTCTTTTGGGGGAGGTATAAAAAGGAGCCTCGGACAGTTGCGCTTTGTAGTGGTTAGCAAGGCTAATACTCTTAAGTGCCGGGTAAAAATTAAACTTGAATAGCAATGATGAAATATTGACTCATCAGATGGCTTTGAAGTTTGGCTTCTTTTTGGTGCAGTGCCCTTCCTAATGGACATGTTGCAGAGAAGAAAGTGATGATAGCTCTGAGCCGGTATTTTCTTACCCTCTGTACAGAGGAAACTTTTTTTTGGGGGGGAGTCCATTTGGGTATTTGAATTTTGAAGATCAGCTCCTTAGACATCACATTCACGATAGAAATGGTTCCTAGCACTCTGAATGTATTCTAGTGATAGCCTGGTATTTAAAAATTTAAAAGATACTTGCTTTAATAGCTATAGATTTTTTTTTTTTTTTTTGCCAAGTTTGCTTTGTCTATTCTATGCTACAATCTTTCCATTCTAAATTTATTTAATTCTCCATCATTCTCTATCAGGAGGACTAAGGTGAGTGTGAATGTAAAATGAAAATAACGCTATGAAATTTAGTTTTATAAAATATCTCACTGGGTAAAATGCTCATGTTTAAAGATGTTTAGAAACTGCATATTTGGAGGTGAAGTTTTTCAGTTCTGATAATGACTGAAGGGTTTTCCTTCAGAGCTTAAAATTGAAGCTGCTTTCGGATGTTGTTTAAATACTGGTTTTCTTCTACATCCTGGATTAAATTTCACTCATCTGAGTGATTTAGGACTTGAGAAACTGTTACTGAAATGTTGGTTGAAAATGTCCTGTTTTTATGTTTCCTCCCACGTGGACTATGATACATTTTTAACATTTCTGTTTTGTCTCTTATTGCTCAGTTTTCATGTGAATCCGACAAGCGGTGAAGACCTCAGGAAAATCCCGGTGAGTCGCAGAGGGGGTTAGAGAGGCAGAAAGCAAGCCACAGCCAGCCTTCTGCCGGGCACACATTTCCAGAAAGGCTCCGTCCCCTCGAACCCGTTACCTGCCGCTGATAGCTTAGCGTGATAATTTGGGGAGAAAGAAGAAAAGCAAAACCCAGTCTTTATTTTTAATATATGATAGGGTGTGACTTTTATACAATTAATGGAACTTCAGATAAACGTAATTGTAATTGAAGCCTGCTTAGAGGATACATATTTTGTTTGCAGACTTTTAAAATTAATATCAAAGCTGTGTGGCAAGGTCAACGTTATTGTTAGGAAATACGAGCATGTGGAGAAAACGGTTTGTTGTTGGGACAGATATTGAAGAAAGAAGAACACCGCTTATTAACGTTCAGCAATCTTGCATCCTGGCGGGCAGTGCCGTTAGCCAGGAGTGCATTTGCAAGAACCGTTAAGACACTAACCTTCCCAGACGGAACAAAACCATCCATACTAGCGGGCGCGGTGTAGCCACCAGCTGAGTCAGCTCACATGCTCGGCAAAGATATTCAGGTGTCTTAACTTCATGCTCGGTTATTTGAAATCCAGTTTGGGGTCTCTGTTCAGAGTCCCATTGCATCTTCAGTCAAATCTAAATATATTAAACCTAGGGAAGAGGTTACTGTACCAATATGCGGGCACGTGTGCTTGGTAGGAAGCTAAGTTCTCATTGAATAACAGAAGCGGAGCCTTTTCTCCAAGAGGCTGGTGGTTGCTCTTTGAACCATCTGCCCTTAATGTGTGTGATCCAGATGTATAAGAAGAATTTTTTAAAGCAATAACATATCACAATTTTCTATGATAATCTATGCCCAGAAATAGCTATGGTAGTGTACAAACCATTCTAAGTGTAGTTATTTCTTTAAAATCATAGAAAACATTATAGAAGCTTTGTGCTGTGTTCTTGCCATTTTATGTAAATGATTTGTAAGTTTTTATGCTTCATAAATACTCCAGTCTTTATAAGATGCAGTCTGGCGAGAAATGTCAGAATATTTGAAGTGAGCCTTTGATCAAATAGTAAAATGAATTCTATCAGGCAAGTTACTTAATCTCAAGCAAAATGCAAACATCAAAAAATCGATTTCACGTGTAGCTATTGTTTATTAAGTAACCTTAATTACAGTTTCTCTGTGCTTGTAAATGTATTTCTCCAAATCTTGTAATTTATTGCTGTAAAAGCATCCTTAGAATACTTTAAAGGAATAAAATGTGAAAATTGTTTTAGTTAAAGGATTTAAAAGTGATAAAAGAATCCTTGATGTGTGATTATTTTTCTCTGGAATACTAACTATTCTGAAGGACAGTTAAAGGATTACTTAGGTGTTGTTAATTTTCTGCAAGATACAATTAGGAGAAGGAACCCATCCTCAGACTGATCGCTTTTTGATGAAAAGTATTTGAACAATTTTTATGTTGAAGATTAGAAGATGTTTGAAGTAATTTACATTAAGTTCTCCGATAATAGCCATCCGCCACGTTATTTTTCCCCCTTCTGGACATAGTATTTTGTAATTAAGTTTGTATGTCTTATATGCTAGTGCCAACACCTGTCTGTGAAAGCACAGTGTTCAAACAGGAGCGGTAGCCAGTTGAAAGGGCAGCGTGAGCTCTTTAAGTCCTAATTAAGAGCTGAAAGGGAGATGAAGGGAGGAGGACAAAAGATGTGAAAGTAGCTGAGATGATATTCCCAGAGCAAAGTTCCTCATTAGAACAATAATGAGATGATCAGAGAATGCCAAGCCTTCCTCTTATCTCTCTCTCTCCCCTCCAGTTGCCTTGGATGTCAGTTAGTGCCCCACCAATATTTGGTTACCAGGACAACCTTTCTTTAAATCTGCAGTTTATTTTGAGTCCTGGTAATTTGCTTTTGTTCAAATTTAAGTATTGTAAAAAATATATATACATTTCCCAGTTTGAAAGGCTGGACTGTGTAAAGCAAAAATAGATCACTAGTGATTTTCAAAGTCTTTTGCACAACTATACTATTTAAGATTTCGATTAGGAAACTTCATGTGATAATTCTATACTCTCACCCAACCCCTAATTTCTTATATCTGCATATGGAAATTTTTAACAGTGGTTGGGTGTGAATGAAAAAGAATTGGTCGTGAAAGGGGAAGAAGGAAGAAAAATTTACATTTCAATATAAAAAGACATCTTAAAAACATATGTGCTGTCTGTATGGATTGCTGGAGGAAATAATGTTGAGTACTTAGGAGTCCCATGTAGGTTATTCGAGTCTATACCAATAATTTATTTTATCCTGAGTTTTCCACTTTAAGCAAAATAATTTTTTCCTTATTTTAATTTTCTATTGTACATATGAATTAATATGAATTGTTATTTTGTTGGAATTAAATCAACAAACAAGGATGCATATTTATTGAGTATCAATTTAAGAATCTTATGCCTAAAATTAAAATATTTACATGCTTTTCAAATATGGGATAAAATCTGGAACTAAGCATAAAACTTTTAAGTTATTTCATATTCTTTTCCAGAATATAGTTTGTAGAACATATGTTTCTAAGATGTTTTTCTGCCTAAAAACCTGAGGCAGAAATTTGGGGTAACGTTTTCACATAAAAGGACAAACGGGAAATTTATGGAAAAGGTCAGAAGTGTATCTCCAGGAAGCCTGCCTGTGCACAGTATTAGAAGGCTGTAGGGGGATGAAATGAGTAATGGATCTGTATATTTTAGACTATGACTGTATAGTGTAATACTATTCCAGGATAATAACTCATTATTTTGAGACTGAATTGTTAGATAGATTTATGTCATGGAATAAAATCTAGACTATGTCAAAATAAGAATATTTTGACATTTTTCATCCTCATCGTTTTAGAGAAATATTAAAAAAAAATTAGCTATATTATCTGGTATTACTGGTATAGTGCTCAATGTAACAATATAAGTGATTTTCTAACTATGTTCATTGCTTAATTAGTTTGTAGAAGTCAGTATAATTTGATTAAGATTAGAGAGACTCAAACAAGTGATTCTTAAGTTAAATTAAGAAAAATGTAAGAGTCAACCAATCAGTAATGAATCCCATTTAGCTTAATTTTATGAATTCCTGCAGTTCTCACCAGAATCCCTATTTTCCAGTAAATATTTTATTAGAAAGATGAAATCACATTAGTTGGGTGGTATTACTTTTTAAAAATGTGTATCAATTTTTCTTAAAGCCAGTTCAGAAATACCACTATGTAAACCAGAACATTTTAGAGTTAAAAGGGACCTTGGAGAACATCTCATTTGTCAAGTAAGGAAAGTGAGAGCTAGATTGGTCTTTGTCTCATTTGTGCAAAATTATTCAGGCTGAAGTGAGGAATTTTAGCTTATTTTTAATAAATTAAAAAGATATATACTTATCTCTCCAGTGTATCTTTCCTATAGAAACCCGCTTAATATAATAATTATTTAATAAGAATGTGGCTAGGAAATTATAATAATGTTTTATATCTCTACTCGTGACCAATTAAATAAACTATTCAATACATGAGAGGTGTGTGCATTGAGAATCTTAAAAAAGATTAATTCTCCTGAGAGAGCAGAGATAAAAGTATTGTAGATTAACAGAATTGTCCTTTAACTGTTGCAGAGTAACATTATGAAATGTTTTTAGAGACAAAGCTAGTATATAACATAATGCATGAAGTTGTATCTTCCCAATTTCTAATGTTAAAACAAAATCGGCTGCTTTAAATATATCTTACAGAACTTAAACTCACTTCCCCTGGGCAGCCTCCCTACTCGTTCTGTTGATCTGGTGGAGGCCCTCTTCGGTATCTTGTCTGTGATATTTCAATACTTTATCACTAAGCTCAGCCCCTCCAAGTGGGTTTTCCCCACTGCTGCCATCTTCATTGTCCTCGAACATGACTTGCATCATATTTTTCTTGCCTACGGAAACCTTCCAAGGCGTCTTAGCTCCCGCAGCAGTAAACCTACAAGTCCTTACTGACAGCACTGATCATCCTCGATGGTCTGCTGGGAACCTGCCATTTCAGCCTCTCAGCTCCCCGTCCTGCACCTTACTTACCCATCCTTCTGTACTGACGGCCTGTTTGACCCCATGCCTCCAGCCTTGCTTCCTCCCTGGAACAAAGCCACTGCTTGAGATGCACGGTTTGCATTTCCACCTGGTGCGGTTTGCATTTCCACCTGGTGCGAGCTGGATCTTCTCCCCAGAACCCGAGATCCTGAGGGGCTGGAAGAGTCTCTCCTGCCTGGACTTGTGTGGTTATCCCGGAGGAGAAAGTGTGGTTGGATAACATCCCCATCAAATCGATGCCTGTACTCAGCATGGTTTTTGGTGTTGGCAGTCTTGGTGCCTGTGGGAAGAGGGGAAAAAGTTACACTTTGGCTTTACTCATGAGAACTTCTAACACATAGCAAGTTAAAGCGGATCCTGAAAATGAGCAGACAAATTTAATGTCTATTAAAAAGAAAAAGCCTGTCTGCATTCATTGCCCCCATTCTGTTTCCCACTGGCTAGCTTATATTCCGTGGTCTGAAAGAGCAAGACCAATTCCCCAGTATGTTTGTCTTAAAGCCAAATGGAAATGTTTTGAATGAAAGTGATGAAAACCATTTTAATTTGTTGAGTCTAGTGATAGAGCTATGTATAAAAAGACATAAAAATACTAATTTATGTTTGGGAATTATATTTTACATAATGAAGAATCTAATTACTATCCACTATAAATAGATGACAACGTATTTTATTAAATTCTTGAGAAATATATATTTTTAATATTAGAATTCTTTGTAATGAAAATTAGGTCAGTGCCTTTTTCTTTTTTATATTTATACATTAATCTAAAAAGAATTTTCACTAATGGAATAACTTTCACCAAGTAAATCAATAGTGAAATGGAAGAAAATGCAGATGCACTGATACTAAATATTAACGTGATCATAGTTGAACTCTGAGTTTCCTGATAACAAGGCACAAAGGGAAATAGAATAAGGTGTATAGGCATTGCTACTATGAGATAGAAATGAACTAGTTATTTATTATAGTTTGCCTCTAAAATCAGAAGTTACTCCCATGGGAGCATCTTAGAAGATTTAATTCCGAGTGCCTTCATTTCATAGCAAGAAGCAGATTTGGTCTTGCTGCTGTTGTACCCAAATTCAATAAAGTGAAAGCCATAGCATTAAACTATAGTTCAGCCGGAGCAATTTGATGAGAATTAAACTAATGTCCAAATGTATAGTTTTCAACAGCTTCCTATAGTTCCTCCAAGTTAATTCTTAGATATTTCAGTTTTTACCTATTTCAGTTATATTTACTATAGAACATTTTATCTTAGTCTTCAGTTGTATGTCTGTCTCTTTTAGTAGGACATTGTCCACACTGTAAAAAACTGTTGTAGAAGAGTTTAGAATTAGAATAAGGCTTGGATGCCTCTGGCCCAGTGCTGGCCTCAGAGCCGGCTGGCCGTTCTGGGGACTGTCAACGTCGGTTCTCGCCAGAGGAAAACCAAAAGCTGAAGGTCAAAAGGATTGTGATTTTGTTCCTGAGAACTAAGGTGCCGGCTCTCTCCTGTTCCAGGACAGCAACCCTTTCGATGCCACCGCGGGGTACCGCAGCCTGACCTACGAGGAGGTCCTGCAGGAGCTGGTGAAGCACAAGGAGCTCCTGCGCCGGAAGGACACGCACATCCGGGAGTTGGAGGACTACATCGACAACCTCCTCGTGCGGGTCATGGAGGAGACGCCCAGCATCCTCCGCGTGCCCTACGAGCCGTCCCGGAAGGCGGGCAAGTTCTCCGACAGCTAACGAGCCCTGGGTGCCGCCCAGATGACTGGGGAAGGGAGAAGGGAAAGAGGAAGAAAAGGAAGACTGGTGACAGGAAGAGCCCGCACCTTCAGGTTTCAGTCCGTGCTCGTCCTTTGGGAAAAGGTGTTTTCCCTGTAAATATGAGCGGGGACTGTCAGAGTCACCTTTGAAGGGAGTTCAATAATTAGAACTTGGAAGGGAAAGGGCCAGATTGCAGATAAGTAAGCAGCTCCTGGGGACTCACTGGGGTGCTGGCCAGCCCCTCACCCACCTGCAGCCCCGGGATGTCTTCAGAAGCTCTTGGCTCGCTCCTCAGGAAGATTTCTCATGACTTTGACATTGTGAGAATGGATGCTGTGGTGGGTTCTTGAGCATTCAATTTGTAGACGATTTAGCTGCAGGAATACTGCTCATCATAAACACTATTTCACCAACAGTCCATGTTTTATATACACACGTATGTACATGAATGTAAGTTCATGTATCTTTGCATATAAAATACGTGCATATACCTCACATCTACATGTGTTTTTAGGACATTTAAAATCAATCGGTTTCCTCTAAAGCGAGGATACCAGTTTCTTAACTGGGAGATGTATGTACTCTCAACGAAGCGTCATTGCTTCTGCAGTATTACATGTGTGTATTCTGCAGTATTACATGTGTGTCAGGGAAGCTGCTCCAAGTCACTATGGAGTCTCCACCTTGGTTTATAATGAGCTGCTGCTCTGTTACTCAGCGTCAGGTTTTTGCTCTTTATCCAGAGCAGTGCTCCAAGGCCTTGTAAAGAATGACGCATTTTAGGAAAGTCCATTAACTCCACAACAGCATGGATTTCTCGGATTCGTTTTTCAGCGTAACGTTTAAGTTTTGTCTAAGCTCTAAGCAGGAGATAAGCTGATGGCATTTGTTTTGTTGCCATTCTGAATGCCTATAAAACACTAGCCAAGAAAACAGTAAGAAGTTAAAGCTGAAGATAACTTGGAGGGTGAAAATAGGTGATCATCTGACGCCCGATAACCCAAAACAGTGGGCAGATTCTCGGAATAAAGATTTAGGCGTGGTTTCAAGTTCCATAAATAATAGAACAGATGGTTGCATTTGGGTCTTGAACCAAAATAACAGTTACTAAAGAGTGAGTTTTTAGAACAGATCTTTATTAGCATGACGTTACACATTAATCTGTGTCTACCCTTTAAGATTTGATTTATCACCAAATTATATGTCCACGTTTTTTATGTCTGCTTCCCCAAAATGTTGAATGCTTCCATGAATCATCTTTCTATGGTTGCACAAAATTAGTCTGAAATGTAAAGTGAAAAATAATGGTTATAAAAATGTTAATTACTGCTTATTTTTTACCTTACAATCTAAAATACTTACTAGGAAACACTGAATCTATTTCTTCTGAGTTTAAAATGAAAAACACACACCATATATGGAGACATACATTTCTCAGTTTTTTTAATGAGTGCATTTTTGTCTAAGACTTACTTGAATGTTAAATACAAAACAGATATAATTGTTTCACTTATTTTAATATTCTAAATCAGATAATACTTGGCCAAGTTTATATTTCATAAGCTAAAATTCCTGTTATTTGTATTTCCTGAGTTTCTTTAGTTTTTCTATAAGAGCATACATTTTGACATTGTGAAAATTTTCCCCAAATATAAAAATTCAATAATTATTGAAATGAAGAAATGGAGGAGGTAAAATAGCTCTACCAACATTTTCCTTCTTTTATATATCTTTCCTAAACCTCCAAATCTGGTGTAGAATTTTACTTTTCCATTTGAAGTCTTAATAATTATTTTTAACATGGTGCCATTTTAATTAACATTTAATAAATATTTACAAAATTCTTAGCATTTGATTTTGTGTTTTAGTATAATTGAGGCTCTTACACTTTTTAAAAATATCAATATCCATGTGTTTTTAGTATTATGACTGATTACTTACAGATATTTTAATATGCTTTGGCCAAATTTGCTCCTTATAGAATGAACCAAGATATTAGTTTTGTATTGGGGATATGTTTTATGTGAATAGAGATCAGTAAAAAGTATGATTCAAGTAACTGCTATTCTTTTTATGAGGAGGTTCATTTTTAAGGAGACATTCTTTGTTAAGAGTTAGGTTTATCCACACATGAGAAATTTGGTTATAACTGACTCAATATTTTCATCTTTAAGTCTGAGATGAGAATTCTATTGAGAACACATCCTGCCTTTATCACTGCCTAACAATGTTCTGTTTGAATGTTTATGGAGTTTTCCTCATGACCCAGAGGACAAGTTACTTGTTCTCATAATCTGTCAATATAATAAACGACAAACAAAAAGTGAAAATGAGCTTCCCAGTGAACATCACAGTGTTTCCTGCATTTGGGCAGAAGTGCATGCAGATTAGTTTTATTTGCTAGCATTGTAGAAAGGCCAAAAGTCACCTTAGTTTGTTTTTCTAAAATGTAACCTTTAGTATTATAATGGTGTATTTTGTTAGTAGCTTAGAAATCGAAATAAAATATATGTACTCATTAAATAATGCACAGCACTATAGACTTATAAATGGATTTTATTTATGCTTAGAATGTATGATCAAAAACATTTCCACCAATAAGAGGATTTAAACACACACACAAACACACACAGAATTGATATTTATCTAAAACCTATATTAAGTTAATATACTTCCGTTATATAATTAAGATATTTATTCTTTTTAAAGTAGCCTTATTTTATAACCAGTTTCCTAGTTTTACAATAAAATTCAGCTCTGAAGATATTGAACATACTGTCCTACTTAGGCCTCCGTTTCACTCATTGGCTAGCGGGGCCATATCTTAGAATTGTATATAAGCGACGTGTCACCCATTCATGAGAGTCTAAGTATTGCTTTTGGCTGCTCTGTTCTGCCTTGAGCCTAGTTTTGCCATTCTCCCGTGCACGTACTGCTACCCGTAGATTACACATAACTACATCTATTGCTTTTGGCAGGAAACGAAGCTTTAGTTGTAATTTTCCAGCTGTGAAAATGTTGCCTTGTATTGAAAAGGGTTTCAGGACTGGAAACCTAAGTAAAACCCAGCTCATTAGTGACAGCTCTGCTTTCCTGCCTTCACCAGCTCCTCTGCCCTCATCCCCCCCCTTCCCCCCGCACCACCCCCGTGAGGATGCTTACTCTTCAAGGAGAATCTAAGAAAACACAAAAGAACCGGCTTTAATATATCTCGTACTTGTTACACTGGAGCTTTTCTCTTCCTCCAGCTTTTCAGGCAAAGCTCCAGCCTCGGGCCCGGGAGCGAGGCTGGAACTTTTTGATGTCCGTGTGCTCATATGTCTTGTAGATATGCTAGGTGTCACTGTGCGTGTGTAAGTGAAGGATGAAGCATGCTCGCTCACTTGGTCGCTTTGAAGTAAGAGGTAAAGGATCACAGCGCTGCTGGTTCGTGACGGTAGATGCGAGGGTCTGTCAGCGCACATTGGAAAGCCCCCATTTTCACAGATTTATAACTCATAATCCAGATGTGGCGATTGGAAGTATTTAATATGCAGTAGATGGCACCTTAACTAATTCAGCTGCATCTGGAAGGTCTCCCGATGTATTTAATAAGGAGTAGAGAAGCTCTCTAAGCATTAAACTCGAGTTGGCATTTTATTTCATTTCTTTTCTCTGTCAAAAAAAAAAAAATTCCCTCTTACCATGGAATTGAAGTCTGTAACAAATGATACATTGGGCTATAAATCTTTGAAGCATCCAGATGAGGTACAAAAGAATGCTGCAGATCGAGAAATGTGTATATTTAGCAGGTATTTGAAAGACACAAGCATTATTTATCACAGAAGAGTATTACACTTGTTAAGTAAAATGCTCTTAGTCACTTGTATACATTTTTACCGGTACACACTCAAAAGTATGTCAGCCTTGCATAATGTGACAGTTGTATAATTTATGTAATCTGATGCATGGATCAGACTTTTTGTATAATATATATTGATTTATTATAGTTGATTAAAGTGTTTAATCTTAATCCCGTTGTCTAATTTCTTATTGCAGATAAAACAGTGTGCTGTGTGCATTTATACACCAGTCCTCCTTGTCCTTTAAAAATAGGATGCCTCCTGTTGGACGCATTGCAGCAAGTATTGTGTAAGACCCACCCACCCATTCACTATACAGATAGTTCTGGAAATTCAGAGCCGAGGGTCCGAGTACCTTAGAGTGGACAATCATCAAAAGTGTGAATGCTCTCTGTGTATACAATGTCCCCTCCTAGGGATAGAGCTCAAGTTTGGCAGAAAGTAACATTTGGAGTTTTATATATAGGCGAAGGCCTGTGCCCAGTATTTTCTTGATAAGCGTCTAGATATACACCTGTCTATCCGAGGGAAACAGGAACCTAAGGACGCGGACTAGGGTGTTGGAGTGTGTGTGTGTGTGTGTGGGGAGGGGCGGAGTGTATTAGGCGGTTGTGTTCTGCATTATGAGGTGTGCTCCATATGTGATAGCCTTGGACATAAATCATATGCATTTGGAACAAGGGCTGTCTCTGCAGGCTGGACACCTTCCTAGACTCTGATTGCTCTCAAATGTGGAGGGTCCATGCAATTTACCCTTCACTTTCTCAGTATGTCTCCACATTGTTCCTTTCCTACCTACCCCTGGCACACATGTTTATTTCTCCTCAGTCTACTGAGATGAAGGTATCAGGAATAGTTTGGAAGTAGAGAGTTATTCTTTTTTGAGAATGACCATTTTCAATAGGTTTTGTTTTAACGCTCGACCTGTCCCAGAAATGTTTCTGTGCACTTTTCATAGTAGTGGGCCTGTGCCTGGACGCCCAGCATTCTGCATTTCCTCCCCAAATGATGCTCCATGATGGCACAGGTGTCATACTTTCACATTCTTAGGACAGAGTTCTATGTCTATCATGACATGAATTAGAAGTACTCAATTCTGTCTTCTCCTCCTCCCAGCCTACAACTCGATAATGAAAGTTTTAGTGGCTTCATCCTTTGTTAGGCTTATTCCAAAGTTAGAATTTATGCCGGGCGGCATGAAAACAGATTTCTCTAGCAGAGCTTTTCAATTAGGGGTGTGGTGGACACATGGCAGCTATGGTCCCGTTTGTTTTCATTCCAGTACCAAAGTTTGCAAAGGATTTATTTATTTAATAAATTAGAACAGAGGAAGATTGACGCTGTTATAGCGTTATAGTCTACTATGCACTGGTGAGGGACGTAAAGTGTGTGACACAGACCACAGGTTATGGGCAGTTCCCAGCAAATTACCTTATCTGTGCTACAACCTTAGAGCAGGGATTGCACACTCAAATGTTTAGGGAGCCAGGCAGGCATGGCGGAGAAGGAGGCGGGCCAGGTGCGGAAGAGGAGGGATTCCTGGGGACAGTGGCAATCTGGAGAGCCTGTTCTCCCCCATAAAAGTGGGCAGCAGCTGTGCAGCTCTGGCTCATCGAGGCCATATGGTGGGGAACGCACGGCCAGGGCTGTTAAACGTGATCTTTCTGGAGAAACTGAAAATACGGCTATTTCTGTGAAATATGATTTCCAAATGTTGCAAACTAATTAGTTTTTTAACAAAAAGTCAGAGGCCACCAGTTTGCAGTCTCTTCTTTAGTGAGTCACTGTTTCTGATGACCAGTCATCCTCTCCTCCTCCTCCTCTTCCTTCTCCTCCTCCTCCTCCTCCTCCTCCTCCTCCTCATCATCATCATCATCATCGTGGGAGAACAAGTCAGGGTAGGGTGGTTGTTTACTTCTCCCACGAGTGGTGTTGTGTTTATTCAAAGTCTGGGTTGGCCCAGGCCTTATGGGGTGTGTGAGATACGTAAGGCAGAATCCCAGCTCAGACTTCCTTGTGGGAGCGGGGAGGAATAGCTATTCAGTGTGTACAGAGTCTCAGTTATGCAGGTCGAGTCAGTCCTAGAGAGCCTAGACAGCTGAGCCCGTAGTTAGCAATGCTGTTTGTACACAGAAGCATTCATTAAGTCCGGCTGGTGCGGCTCAGTGCTTGAGTGTAGACTTATGAACCAGAAGGTCCCAGTTGGATTACTGATCAGGACACAGGCCTGGGTTGTGGGCTCTGTCCCCAGTTGGGGGTGTGCTGGAGGTGGATGACAAATAATTCTCTCTCGTCACTGAAATTTCTGTCTCTCCCTCTCTCTTCCACTCTGAAATCAATAAAAGTGTTTTTTTAAACATTTTGTTAAGAGGTTAGGGTAAATGTTCTGACTACAGTGAAGGGGGAAAAGACGTTCTCCAGTATGCCTGTGCCTGAGTGTGACTGCAGTGCATTCGGGAGGGAGAACAGTACAGGGAATATAGTCTGTTTAGCACATTTGACTGTTATCCAGGGTCTGCTCCAAACCTTATTTGTAGTAATTATGATTTTTCAATATTTACTATAACCTTGCCTTCTGATAAAAATTGTACAAAAAAATCATCAGTGTCCTAAAGATCAGTGTAGCACACAGTATTGATGCTGTGCTATGTTCAGGTCCAGTGGCATGTGGTGTATGATAATTCCCAGTCATATAAAGTTAATATGTTTTCTTGTGGTTTTTAGTTTACAAAGTACACATTTCAATTAAAATGTAGTGGTTATTGTTTCCATAGTGTGATTTTATACATCAACCTTTTAAAATCCTACCATCCTTTTTGATCAAGAAAGGCGGATGGTTTAGATCACTTGTTTTCAAAGTATTGCCCCAGAGCAGCAAGGTCAGTGTCACCTGGGAACTTGTTTGAATGCAAATTCTCAGGCCCTGTTCCACACCTAATGAAGCAGAAATGGGAGGGGGGACAGACGGTAGGACTCAGAGAACTCTATTCACAAGCTCTCCATCTGTTTAAGATGTGTAACTGAGAACCGCTGACAGAGACACACACAAACTCATTATTTTCTTAGCTTAATGTAGTTTACAGAATCCTTCTTTTCTTGCCATTCTTGCATTTATTTGTGAACCTGCTTTTTCAGTTTTTAAATGCATATTATATTTACCTTTTATATTTTTGTAGAGAGAGGAGAGGAGAGAGAGAAAATCAATGTGAGAAAGAAACACGAATCTGTTGCCTCCCACACCTGTCCTGACCTGGCATTGCACCTGCAACCTGGGTGTGTGTCCTATCTGGGAATTGAACTGTCACGTTTTGGTGCAGGACAGTGCTTCAACCAACTGAGCCACACCAGCCAGAGCATGAATATCTTGTATTTTAGAGAAACTTAATCTTCATGATGAAACCTCACAAAAGGTAGAATGTTCATAGGATATGCACAGTGCCTTATGCAGAGTAGATACATAAATACTGTTGATTCATTGGCACGATATGTTTTGCTCGCTACGGGAAGATTGGGTATTATGACTGAGGAGGAAAACGCGTACATGGGCCTTATTACAAAACTGCCAGAATGTCCTCCTCTTGTTCTGACCTGGGTGAGCCATGTTGGCTGAGGAGGGCATCTTTCCCAGCTTCCCAGAGGTCTCTGCTGAGGTCACAGACGCTAGTGCAGGAGAGGAAACAGAGTGCAGCCACACATGGAATGTGGTAGAACAGAGTGTGGAATATATGTGCGAAATCGGGTAATGAGCCTTAATATAACAAGTAAAGCCAACTTGTGACTTCTGGTGAGAGGTTTTACTGAACAGGCACTTGTAGCTTTGCTAGTTACCATCATTTTAGCAAATAGTTCATTAAAAAGTTTACTTTCTTTCCACAATCAATACTGGGCTGAGTGCTCATTTCTAGGGAAATCGAGGGTGAAATTAAAAGTCGGGCCAGATCTTGTACAAATATTAGAAACACCTGGTGGTTAGGAAAAGGCCATTCCACACTGGGATAAGTAACGGAACTCCAATAAGAGTGGCGTGAGAGAGGACAACCACGGGAGAGTATATCATTGGCTTTCATTCCTCAGTGAAATCATGGCTGGAACCTTAACAGTGTCAAATGGAAAGACTATCGGAGCACTGGCCCACGTTGGTGGGTTTGGGTTTCTCAAATTTGTGTTTGTTTTCATCATCAGGCCAAGCTTCAATGTCCAATATCAGCCTGTCAGAGAGAGAGAACTCAGATCATCCGAATCACCGCTGGTTCAGAATCCTCAATCTGAGTGATGCCGTTTCACCCTCTTTCAGCAAAATGTCTCCAAAGTGTAGCTAGAGGGGAACAAAATTGGCTTAGGAATTTCCTTTCCTTTCCTTTCCTTTCCTTTCCTGGTGATGAAGGAGGCGCTAACGAGGAGAAAGGGCAGAGAGCAGGCCTGGGGTTGGGAGGAGAAGACAGTAGGCCAGGCCCACAGGTAGACCAGTTGTCCACCTCCAATTAAGTCGGGTTGTAATCTCTGAGATCACCTTGAGTGAGCACCTCTTTTTGGGAAAGAATTCATTTGTCTTAACCCATTGACGGATCCCAGTGCACTATTTAGTGTTTTTGTGTTTACATTTAAAGTTTTTTTTTATTATTATTAATGTACTGTTATTGCACATCTTTCATGATTTATAAGCTGTAAAATATTTTAATCCTTGACTCATTTGTTTACCAAGCTATTCACTTAATGCTATGGAATATGTAGCACTTGAGACCATCTGTTAGGAATATTTGAATAATATGCACACTCTGAAGCTATGTACAGCAAATAGCGCTCGGAACACATGAAATATTCAGGAAGAGTTTGCGAAGACAATCCATGTATTTTAATTAAAAGAAGCTGTTGCCTGAGATCTAGCAGTAAGTCTTTCCAAAAAACGAATTGACGTGCTGGGATGGCATTAAGCTGTTATTTTTTACTTCAAGTGACTAGACTTTAAATAAAAATATTGGAATTAATACTAATTAGAACTGCGCCTCGAAGAGCTTTTCCCCAGGTGTGGGAAGTTCCTGCGGGAGCCATGTCGGAGGCCGGGAACGGTGAGTGTGTGTTTGGTGAAGCAGGCCGGAGAAGGGGCCAGGCCTCAGGGCCTTGGGGTCCTCCCCCGGGAAACCCCGGGGTTAGCTGGGCAGCCTTGGGAAAT